GGCCACAGAGCTTTAAACCAAGCGCGGGACCCTACTGTGCCCTACTGTGCCCGGAGCCCCCGCGGGACTGTCTGGGTTGCACCGCCGTGAAGCCAGCACCGCCTCTAACCCTCTCACCGCCCCCAGATCCTCATGCCAGGATTAAGCCTGCTCGGGATCCCCGCGGCCCCCATGCTGTCTCCGCTGTGTCTCATTCTTGCTTGTTTCCTTGCCTGTTTTCCACCCCCCAGAATATGCTTTTCCCAAGGGCCCAACTGCCACGCTTTCCCCCCCGATTGCCTAGCACAGCGCCTGGGACAGAGGAAGGCAGCTATATTTGCTAAATTAATTGTAACAGAGAAAAAGTCCACTTCAACAATGATGGCTCTCCATTTTATACCCACTAGGATGGCTATAATCAAAAATAAATAAATAAAAACAGAAAATAACAAGTGTGGGTGAGGATGTGGAGAAATAAGAACCCTCATATTTTGCTGGTGGGAACGTAAGATGGTGCAGTTGCTGTGGAAGACAGTTTGATAGTTCCTCAAAGTGTTAAATGCAGAGTGATCATATGACCCAGCAATTCTGCTCCTAGGTATAAACCCCAGAGAATCAAAAACATGTCCACACAAAAGCATGAATATTCATAGCAGCATTATCCGCAATAGCCAAAATGTGTCAACAACCCAAGTGTCCATCAATGGATGAATGAATGAACAGAATGGGGTCCATCCACACAATGGAATAGTACCCAGACATAAACAGGAATGAAGCACTGACACAGGCTACAATGTGGATGAACCTGGAAAACATGATGCTAAGTGAAAGAAGCCAGACTCAAAAGGCCACATAGTCTATGATTCCATTTATATGAAATGTCCAGAACAGGCAAATTTATAGAGACAGAAAGTAGACTGGTGGTTGCCAGGGGCTGGGGGAGGGGGGAGTGGAGGGTGACTGTTAATGGGGACAGAGTTTTGGGAGGGGGTGATAAAACGTCCTGGAACGAGATAATGGTGACAGTTGTACCACACTGTGAATGTACTAAATGTCGTTAGTGGTAAATGTTATGTATATTTTATCACAGTAAAAACAATTTAAAAAAACCTGTCTTTAAATGCAATGTGGTACCCTGAATTGGATCTTGGAACAGAAAAAGGACATAGTGGGAAAACTGGTGAAATCCAAAAAAAGCTTGGCATTTCATTGCCAGTGCTGTGCCAGTGTAGGTTTCTTAGTCGTGACAAATGTATCACGAACACGTGAGATGTTAACATAAGAGAAGCTGGGTGAGGGTATATAGCAACGCCTTCTACCATCATCGCAGCTTTTCTGTAAATCTAAAATGATTCCAAAATGAAACATGTATTTTCAAAAATCATATATGCCTTCTAAAAAGGGTCTTGCTTGGTCTCCAGAAGGTTCTTTTGTCTGCCTAGGGCCCACTTTGCAATTTAGGGAGCTGGAGCTGACTCTTTGATACGGGAGAGGGAGAAGAATCTGGAGCTCCCAGCTGGGAGGGGAGGGATGAGGCGAAGAGAGGGGTAGGTGGGAGGGGTGAGGGAGGCACCTGGGCTGGAACGTGGTTGGGCTGGGGGTCCCCCATGGCAAGTGGAACCGCTTTGCTGGGGGAGCTCCAAGGACTTTGGAGAACAGGAATGTCCAACACAGAGGCTGCAAATGGATGTTCCACAGGTTGAAGACTAGAGATGTGTTATATTTACCCTTACTTTTGTAAAAATAATTGAGCCAATCTATAAAAAGCAGTCAATCTCACATTAAAATTGGAAATTTCCAACTCCTCTGGAAACATCTGAAGATCTGCTAACTCAAGGCCACCTTCCTGCATGACCCCAAAGGGCCGGAGCCGAGTCCCAGGCAACCCCTTGAAGTGGGCGTGAGCTCTCCCATTTGCCACGGTCCCCACCAGCCCCTGTTGTCACCAGCTACTGACACCGAGCCTCGGTTACCATTTATCCTCAAGTTTGCACCATATTCTACTTCTGACGGAACAGATTTTCTCTGCACCATGTCAAAAGTGGAAAAGAGAAACCAAGATATTGTCTGACTTTTCTTACACCTGGTTGGCTTCACTTGCCTATGATATCTACCTGGTTCCTAGAGGCACTTTTTTTTTTTTACATCTTTATTGGAGTATAATTGCTTTACAATGGTGTGTTAGTTTCTGCTTTATAATGAAGTGAATCAGTTATACATATACATATGTTCCCATATCTCTTCCCTCTGCGTCTCCCTCCCTCCCACCCTCCCTATCCCACCCCTCTAGGTGATCACCCTAGAGGCACTTATGTTCGAGAACTCAAGTCTAATGTTTGACCTGCAGCCTTTGCTGTAATGTCAACATACCCTCCCCAACCCATGCCCTTAAATCTTCACTCTCACGGGTGTTCTGTGGTTGGGGTCAAACACACACACTGATTCTTGGGTGTGAATCCTGGTTCTACCCCTTACTAGCTGGGTGGTCTTGGCCAAGTCACTTAACTGCTCTGTGCCTCAGTTTCTCCAGCTGTAAAGTGGGCGTGACATTGTACCTACCTTTCAGGGGTTTTATGAGGATTAGGTGACGTAGCCCATGCAAAGCATGTAGACCTGTGCCTGGAACAGAACAAAAGAGGCAGAGAAAATTTCAGGGGGTGACAAGTGCTGTGATTAACAGATCAGGGTGACTAGGGGAAACCCCACATTCAGTACTTGTTGCGGAGGAGGGGACATGTGAGCTGAAAGAGGAATGAGAAGGAACCAGCTGGGAACCGAGGGGAAGGAACAGTGTGTCAGGCAGAAGGAACAGTCAGTGTAAAGTTTCAGAGGCAAGAATGAGCTTGGCCTGCTCAAGGACCAGAAGGAAGAAGGGCAGTGTGGCTGGAGCAGAGCAACCGAGGGTCAAATTTAAGGCTGAAAGGCAGGCAGAGGCCTTGCAGCCACTGGACGCCGGGGGAGGGTTCTCAGCAGCCAGAGGCCAGAATCTGACTGACGAAGGGGCGAGTGAACCTGGCAGCAGCAGGCCGGTCCAGCCCGGAGCCTCTACTTCCAGTTCCACGATCCCCATCACAACCAGCCTGACCGAAGCCTGGCTGTCCTTGCCCTCCGAGCATCGAATCCCCCCACCCCCCAAAACAAACAGGAAGTCTTGAGGTGGCCCTGGGCCAGGTCAGTGGCCCCCGGGTAGTGGCAGAGCAAGGGATGCAAAGCCACTCGGATGAAAGGCTGCAGGGTCCCCCCGCAAGAGAGATCCACGTCAAATCCCTGGAACCTGTGAGTGTGACCTTACTTGGAAAAAGGGTCTTTGCAGATACGATTGAGAATCTCAAGATGAGGTCATTCTGGATTAGCCACATGGGCTCAAAATCCAATGACAAATGTCCTTATAAGAGAAAGGCAGGGGGAGATTTAAGACGCACAGGGAAGAAGCCCATGTGAAGACGGAGGCAGAGACAGGAGGGATGCGGCCACAAGCAAGGAATACCTGGAGCCACCAGAAGCTGGAAGAGGCCAGGAAGGAATCTCCCCTAGAGCCTTCAGAGGGAGCGCGGCCCTGCCGACACCTCGATGTCAGACTTCCGGCCTCCGGAACTGGGAGAGAATACGTTTCTGTTGTTTTAAGGCACCCAGTTTGTGACCATTTGTTCTAGCGGCCGCAGGAAGCCAATACTCCTCCTCCAAGCCCGCGCCCCAGGCAGGAGGTTCAATCTCTCCTTCCATCCTTGCAGCACATCCCCCTTTCCAGGTGAAAACACTGAGGCCCAGAGAGGGGACGATAAATGGGGAAGCCCCTTACAGCTGTCTCAACTTTCCTCCTGCCTGAATTGAACTCACCTATGTATCTTGTTGGGTTTTTCACAGCATTTTAAAATTTGTATTTATTTTTATTATGGAATGGTAAGCACAGAGAGTCCAGATAACAATGCCCCGCAACTTTTTCGTTCCTACTCTTGGGGGCTTAGCTATGGGGTCTTGGCAGTGTGGCATAGGGATAATTAACCTCTCTGAGCTTCGGATTCCTTTACTTTAAAATGGGGGAGAGGGACTTCCCTGGTGGTCCAGTGGTTAGGACTCCGTGCTTCCACTGCAGGGGGTACGGGTTCGATGCCTGGTCGGGGAACAAAGGTCCTGCATGCCACACGACACGGCCTAAATAAATAAATAAATAAAAATTTTCAAATGGGGAGAGAACTGGTTGTTGTGAGGATTAAATGAGAATGGATGATAAGCACCTGGTGTCTCTCCGATTCCACCTGAAACCCCAGCCTGGGCCTGAGCAGGTTCTTGCTGTGGGACCCAGTTCTCAGTTTCATGATGGTTTCTTCAGGTGGGGAGCCAGAGGGTCCTGGGTAAATAAGATGCTCCAGGCAGGCCCAAGCCCCTGAGGGCAAGCAGGGGACCCAGCTGGCAACAGTCTGGGTCTCAGGCCTTGGTTTAATTGGCAGGAAAACGGGTACACAGCAGACATGGAGCTGGTATATGCAGTGTGACTGCACCAGTAGTTAAAATATTGAAATACTTCTCTACCAGTTGGTAAAAGGCACTGCCCAGCCCCCCTCCCGGGACCCCAGACTTCCACACAATCCAGCAAGTAAGAAGCACCACCAGGAGGTCTTCCTGTGTCCCGTCCTAAGCCTCTCTTCTGATTGAGCCGTTCTGCTGCGTAAAATTTCTTGGCGCCATGGGCTGGCGGGCGTGGGGCGCCCCGTCCCTGATGGAAAAAAACAGGTGGCGTTTGCTGGGTCTCGGCTTTCCCGGGAGGTACAGAAGCCCCAGGGATTTAGAGGAGACAGGTCTCTGTTATCCCGCACAAGCCCCATGGAGGCAGACAGACAGACATGGATGTCTGCGCTGGGGTCCTGGGGACGTGAAGGGGCTCCTGGACACTAGGCGGAGGCCCTAGACCACCCAAAGTCTCCCCACAACTACACCAGGCAGGGCCGGGGGAGAGTTAGTGGATGGAGAAACCTAACCAGGCGATGAGGCAGACGGCCCAGGAAGAGGTCAGAAGTCAGGGGTCAGAGGTAGTATACTTTATTGACCGGGTTCTCCCAACATTTTGCAACCCCGCTACAAAGCCAGACCTGGGCTTTGCCAGTGTCCCGTCCACTGGACAGGGAAGAGAACGCGACTCCCAAACATCCAAAGGGCCTCAGAAGAGCAGAGCGGCAGGGTGGATGTGGGAAGGGGCCGCCAGCCAGGGGAGGGGCAGGGGGAGGGGCTAGCACTGGGCGCTGGGCCAGGGACACCCCGAGGCTCCGCCAGGCCTGGCCAGCCCCTCACTCTCCCACTTAAGGTCCGTAGTGGCTCACAGTGAGACTGGCTTAGATTTGGGAGGGCGGAAGGGGTGAGGGCAGGCAGGTGCCTTCCACTCCCCACCCACCCTTGGCCTGACTCACAGAGCTGGGAAGAGGGAGAGACAGGAAGTCCCCTCCCCGTGTTCCCTCCCCCGCACCCCGGGACAGGGAAGCCCCTTCTCTCCAGGGGCAGAGGGTAGAGGCCTAGTTCTCCCTGACATCCCCCAGGCTCCTAGGAAGGGTCACTCACTCCCGGCTCAGAAGTCTCTAGAACTTGCCCATCATTGCTCCCAATTAGAAAAATGTTTTTGAAATCTAGGAGATTGGGGCCCATCAGAACCAAGCAGTAAAAAACCTGGTTAAGATCTTGGTTTAAAAAGGTAGCTCTACCTTCACTTAGAAACCTTGGGAGACCAGCTGGAGAGACCAGTGGTGTCTCCACTGCCCAGACTGGAGGGGGTTGCTCATGGCAGCAGGGGGCTGGTGGTGGCCCGGGGAACAGGGTGGGAACCGGGGGCGAGACGCAGGAAGCGGGGACACGTGGGACAGGGCAGCTGGCCCTCCGGTGCCGTGGACCTGGGCTCGGAGGGCAGCGGGGGCGGCCGGGGGGCCCCCGTGGGCACATCTGCCAGGTGGGCACTGGAGCCTCTGCCCCACCAGGAGAGGCAGGGCCCACGGTCAGGCCTTGTGACCGCCGTTGCCCGGCGGCTCCCTGAGGCCGGCTGTGCAGTCCGAGGCGGGCTCGAGCCCCAGCATCTGCCGTTGCACCAGCCTGGCGTAGAGGCCGCCCTGGGCCAGCAGCTGCTGGTGTGTGCCCTGCTGCACCACGCGGCCCTTGTCCAGCACCACGATGAGGTGCGCCCGCTCCACCGTGCTCAGCCGGTGCGCGATGATGAGCACCGTGTGCTTCTGCAGGTTGCCGTGGATGGCCTGCTGGATCTGTGGAAACAGGAGGGCGCCGGCTCACACGGGCGTCTCCGCCGCCACCCACTGCCCCGCCCGGTCCCGGCTGGGATCCCAGATCCACCGCGTCCTACGGATGCTCAGCCCCTCTGAGGCTTCCCTACTTGTAAAGCAAGGGCTGGCACAGGGCCTGCTTCCTGGCTTTTGTCCATGGGGGACGGAGCTCAGAGCCTGACACAGGGCAGCGCCCGGCGGATGACAGGGGGGGCCCCTAACATGGTCGTCTTCTCGTCTTCCTGCTCCTTCCCCTAACCTTGGCCTTGGTTAACGGTCTCACCGTCAGCCCCGAAGCTCACGCCGACAACACCAGGCATCACCTGGCCCCTCATCCTTCCCTTATCACCGGAATCCAACCCATCAGCAGGTCCTGTAGCTCCATCTCCCCGGTGTGTCTCTGTGCCATCTTCCACCTCTGCCACCATTCCTTCTGACCTGGAGCCTGCAACCTTCCTGCCCTGCTCCCATCCATTCCCCACGTGGATTTAACATTTTTAATCAGTTCTTGTTGAACTCATGCTCCAAGCCCTCCAAGAGCTTCTTGTCCCATTTAGGATAAAATCCAAACTCCTGGGGGAGTTTTAGGGCCGTGAAACTATTCTGCATAACATGACATTCTGCATTTGTCAAAACCCATAGAATGTGCAACACAAACAGTGATCCCTAATATGAACTGTGGCCTTGAGTTAGAAATAATGCATTAATGCCAGCTTGTCAACTGGAACCAATGTACCGCTAATGCAAGATGTTAATAACAGGCGACATTGTTCGTGGTGAGGGGAGGGGATATACGGGAACTCTCTGTACTTTCTGCTTAATTTTCTTTAAACCTAAACCTGCTCTAAAAAAATAAAATAAAAATCTATTAATGGAAAACAATCCAAACTCCTTTCCAGGGCCTGAGGAGCTTGTGTCCCCCTATGACTCTGTCCTTGCCTCACCCCACGGCCAGCCACGCTGACCGTGGGGCTTGGCTGTGGACCTGCTCTGGGACTTTGCCCCCACTGCCCCCTCTCCCTGGGACTCTCTTACCCAGCCCCCCTCTGGCTGTCTCCTTTCCTTTCTGGTCTCAGCTCAAGTGGGACCTGATGACCCTGGTTCTGTTGGCATGAACTGCAGGATTCTTGGCACGTGTGACCCCATCCAAACTCTGCACTAAGACGGCCACACTCCAGGGGGCTTCTGCAGCTCAAGGCCTTGTTGCTAGGATGACCCCAGCCCCTAAATGCCCAGTGCTGCCAGGAGAATTGACTTCTAGACATCACCTGATGGTGGGCCCCAGAGCTCCCTTTCTTAGAGCATTTACCAAAAAGGGCTTATAATTGTAAAACCTTCCCCTGTCCCCTGGAGATATATATGCAGATCTCCTAAAACTCAGGAATGTTTTTCTCTGGGACCTGAATGCCATCTCATTGTAATCATGGGAAGGATAGGGCCCCTGTCTTCCAGTCTTGGTAGAGGACAACCACTGCTGGCCAGCAGTCATGGGGACGGATCACACTTGCACTGCCCAGCCCTTTGTGAGTTTCTCCTGGTCCCCCACTCTTGCGCCCTCCCTACACCCTCAATCTCTCTGTGAAAGGTTCCGTCACCACTGTCACCCCTGCACAGGAATGGGGCTCAGCTCTTCCCTACTGACAGTAGCTACTAATAAAATCTGTTTTCCCAGCTTTAACTAATGTCCAGCAGTGTTTCTCTTTGACAGTAGTGACCCTTCCCTCAATCTCTCTATCACATGACTGTTTCTTCTTCTTCTTTTGTTTTTTTTTTTGGCCGCACTGTGTGGCATCTGGGATCTTAGTTCCCCAACCAGGGATCGAACCCGCATCCCCAGCCCTGGAAGCGCGGAGTCTTAACTGCTGGGCCGCCAGGGAAGTCCCCACATGACTGTTCCATTTTCTACATAGCACAGGCCCCAGGGTGAACTCATGCTTATCTCCTTGTTATCTGTCTCCCCCTCTGGACTGGAAACACCTTGGGGGCAGGGGCCAATGTAACCCCTGGTGCCTAGAACAGCGCCTGGTGCCCGGGAGGCGCACATTAAATACCTGTGTAGTAAATGAACTGATCCATGGAGGGACTGAGGTAGCTGGTCCTCTTCAAATACACTATGGGGCCCTTCTTTCTTTACCAATGAAATGAGACTCAGGGGGTAAGAGACACGCGCAAGCCATGAGCTGCAGAGCGGAGCTCCTATCCACGTCCCACACCTCCTGACCCCTAACCCAATTCCATATAATTTCAACGCCTCGAGCCAGAGGCTGGGCCAGGGTGGCCAGGCCCTGGGCCTCCTCTGCCCCCGCTCGCTCCCTGCCCTCAGCTCCGGGACAGCCCAGTCCAGGAAGCTGCTGGCCTGGGAGGGCCCCTGCAGCCATCTGCAGGGGGAGGGAGGGCTCTGGCCGCCTGGAGCTGCTACTGCCCCAGCATCGCCCGTTACCCAGCGACTCACCAGGAACTCGCTCTCTGCATCCAGGGCGCTGGTGGCTTCGTCCAGGATGAGCACGGGTGGGTTCCGCACCAGAGCCCGGGCCATGGCCACCCGCTGCTTCTGGCCGCCCGACAGCTGGGCACCCTTCTCCCCCGTCTCTGCATGGCAGACACAGGGGCAAGTGAGCGGGAGGTGAGGCCGGTGGCCCTGGGGAGCAGCGAGCAACCCCCGCCTCCGCCTTTCCCTGCTGCCACGGGAGCTCTGCTCCCCAGGAAAAGGTGGGGCTACAAGGGCCACAGGCTGGAAACCTCATGAAAGGATGCTCTTCCTCCCTGTTCGTAAGAGGCATGCAAGTTACAACTATGTGCAATTGGTACCAAGATACCAACTTTTACCTATTAATCTGGCAAAAATCCACACGTTTGATAGCACACTGTGCTGGTGTGGCCGAGGGGAAAGGGCACTCCCTCCTCTCCCTGAGGTACCGCTGTGTCTATCCGGCTGTGCCGTACAAGTCTACAGAGCACAATTACAGAGGCACAACCCTTGGACCAGCAAAACCATCTCTGTGAATATTTCCTACAGATTCACCTTCTCATGCACGGTGACTCACAGCACTGTTATTGCCAAAAAAAAAAACCAAAAAACAAAGAAACAAACCACCAAATGTCCATCAACAGGAAACCAGTTATTTTTGAGTAAATTATTATAAAGCCACACAACAGAATACTATGCAGTAGTTAAAAAAAGAGCAGCTTTCTAGGTATCTATACGGACAGGTCACTTAAAAAAGCCGGGGGGCAGAATAGAATGTGCTGGATTTTTCTCTGTAAAAGGGTGGGAGGGAATAAAAATACATATTCATACTTGCATAAAGAAACTCCAAAACGACATGTAAGAAAATAATGAAAGATGTTTTGGTGGGGGCAGGGGGGACCTGGCAGTGAAGACCGGGATGAAATAAAACTTCACATTGGATATCGTTATGTCTATTTTTTTAGTTTTGAATTGTATGAATAGTCCCATTGCGAGAGTTAAAAATTTTAAATATGTTAAATAAAATCTATAAGGTAATATATTGTTCAACTTATTAAATTAAAATATTTACTAATATAAAATTAAGTCACTATAATTAATGAATATAATATATATATTATTTTTAAATAATAATATTTCAGGGACTTCCCTGGTGGTGCAGTGGTTAAGAATCCACCTGCCAATGCAGGGGACATGGGTTCGAGCCCTGGTCTGGGAAGATGCCACGTGACGCGGAGCAACTAAGCCTGTGCGCCACAACTACTGAGCCTGCGCTCTAAAGCCCATGCTCTGCAACAAGAGAAGCCACTGCAATGAGAAGCCCCCGCTCGCCACACTAGAGACAGCCTGTGCGCAGCAACGAAAACCCACTATGTCCAAAAAATTTTAAATTAAATAAATAAATTAATTTTAAAAAATAAAAGAAAAAAGTGTCTTTTTAAAAAAAATGACGTTTTGGAACTAAACAGAGGTGGTAGTTGTAAAGCATTGTGAATGTACTAAATGCTGCTGAATTGTTCACTTAAAATACAGTGGTTAAGTTTATGTTATGTGAGTTTCAGCTGGCAGAGGGCAGTGCATAACTCAGGGCTGCCTCCCTGAGGGTGGACCTCCAGGCACGGTGGAGGTGATGCTCTGGGCTCTGTACCTGTATTGTAGCCATCCTGGAGTTCCATGATGAAGCCATGGGCATTTGCCTTCTGTGCGGCCTCCACCACCACCTCGAAGGGCACGGCGGGCAGGCCGTAGGAGATGTTGTCTGTGATGGAGCGCGCGAACAGCACTGGCTCCTGGCTCACCAGGGAGATCTGCGGAGGAGGAAGGATGGGCTGTGAGAGGCCTGGAACGCGTCTATCCAGCTGTCACCAGGAGCCTCGCGAGCCCTGGGCCTGAGTGACGCCGGGAGACTTGGGTCTGAAATCTGATCAGGGCCCGCGGCCAGCGGCTGCATTCAGCTGCCTCTCTTATTTCCGAACAGCAGAGTCCACTTTCTGCACAAGCTCTCAGCCTCCCTGACCAACAAACCGGGGCCCCGCTAAGCTTGCCGCTCTGGGCCCAGTCAAGCTCCCTGACCTCCAAGACGGAGCTTACTGGCTGCCCCTGACCTGGAAAGAAAGAGAGAAAGAGCATGGAGTGTAACTCTGTGAGTCAGCCTGTCCCTGGCAGGAGGCAAGGGGGCACAGCAGACCCAGGCCACAAGGACCTCCCTGGCTGGTGCCCCCTCCCTGTAAGAGAACAACTGAAAGGAGCTATTGTCTCAGGGTCTCACTTTTAGGAATTTGTATGTAGTTGGAGGATATCATTGCAACACTGTAAATAGCAAAAAAGGAAAAAGAAAAACAAAACTAAACAATCTAATTCTCCATAAACAGAGCATGGGTTAAATGATTACGGTGCACCCATAGAATCAAACCGTAGTATATGTATCATATTTCTATTTTTGTTTAAAAAAAGCATATGTGCCTTTATATATAGGTACGTTTATATAAAGGTAGGAAACACGTTGGAAAGGATATTGACTAAACTGCCAATGCTGGTTCCCGACACGGAGTGGAATTCAAAAGGTGAGGTGGAGTCACTCAGGTCTTTGTTATGAAATTCTCTGAATATATGGGAATATGGTTAGGTTGTTGAGTTTTACTGCTCTGGGTTTATAAAAATTAAAAATTTATAGAGAAGGTATTCACAAAAGAGGAAATCCAAATAACCAATAAACATATGAAAAGGGACTTAATATCTTTAGTCACCAGCAAATGCAAAAGACCTCTACACCGAACTACCTCTAAATACCAACTGGTACAGATTCAGGACTGGCAATATTAACAGTCTGAGAAGATTAAGTGTCTGAGTATGTTAACTATTGCAAAGCCTGAACAGCTCTTTCTAGGAGCCACTTCCAGAACTCTGGTGGGCAGCAGCCTGGTGGGGGCAAACCTGGGACCACTTCTCCACCATCTGTCCCTGGTTATATACACATAAGTGGGCAGATTTCACAACCTGTGGCCTCCACCAGCATCTACAACTGGCCAGAAGTTCTGGAATCTCTGTGCCAACTCTCAGGCTCTCATATATCTTAATGTATGTAGACAACGTAAATCGTGTCTGCTTAATAGTCGGTGTTTCTTGTATAGTGTGCAGCCTGAACAACCGTCCAGGGCATCCCTGCTCTTATTGCCAGCAGAGGATCAGGCGTCGAGTCTACTTTTCTGAGAGTATTACTCAAAACTGTAAGGTCATGAATAGCCTCCTTTAAATACTGGAGATAACTTAAATGCGGAACAACCTGAACTCTCACCCACTGCTAGTGGGAATGTAATGTGTAAAAAAATAATAATAATAAAAAAGTAAACCACCTTAATGGCAGTAACTACTAAAGGTGAGGCTCTGGGAGAACCTACCCACCCATGGGCACTGTGATATGGATTAAACTGTCCATATCGGTATTGCTGGTAATAGTAAAAAAACAGGAAACAACCGGAATATCCATCAAGAACAGAATGTATAAACGGACTGTGCCATGTTTACACAGTGGATTATCTTCCAGAAATGAAAATGAGTGAACTACAAACACAGCCTCAACCTGGAAACCTCACAAATAACACTGAGTGGAAGGAACAAGACACAAAGAATACACACGTTACGGTTCCAGCCAGACGGAGTTTAAAACTAGCAAAACACAGCTGCGCTGTTCGGGGAGGCGTAGAGATGGGAACAAAAGAAAAGCACGGAAATGACGATCGTGAGCGTCAGGCAAGACGTTGCTTCTTGTGGGGAGAGTGCTGGAATGTTCCAATTCTTGAAATGGTGATAATTCTTTGAAATGTACGTGTGTCTTGAGCCCTCTTCCCCGCACCTGTGTGCGTGCTCGCGGGAGAGAAGGTCGGACAAGGAAAGGGCGGAGGAGGGCAGCAAAGGCCCATGCACATACCACTCGGTGCAAGTACTTGTGGTCATAGGCGCTGATAGGCTTCCCATCCAGCAGCACGCGACCCCCTTCCAGGGGGTAGAAGTTCTCCAGGATGTTGACGCAGGAGCTCTTGCCACTGCCCGACGGCCCCACGAGCGCTGTCACCTTTCCTGGGGACAGGCTGAAGGAGACATTCTGCAAGGAACACGCAGACACGGTGTGGGGCCCCTGGCTCATATGCTCTGGCCTCAGATGCAGGCGGGCACCCTTCCCAGCCTGCCCCACCGCTGGCCCCCAGAATGCTCTCCTTTCTAGGATTTGGCAGCACTTTTATACTTGTCTCCTTTGCCTGGAATGTTCTTTCTGCAGAGAGCCATCAGCTGGCTCCTGCTCCTTGTTTAGGTCTCATATCAAATGTCACCTCCTCCGAGAAGCCCTCCTTGACTGCTAATACCATCTCTGCAGACTACCCCTGACTTATTGCCTTCCTAGCACTTCTCCAAGAATCCTTTTGTTAATATGATCTGTCTTCAGTGTTCCTGGCCTCTCATGTTCCTGGCTGCACTGCCATGGCCTGGCCTGTAGGAGGTGCGCGAGAGATGGGATGAGGGAAAGGATGACTTCCGGGGGGGCGGGGGGGGGGCTTGGGTCTTCTCTCACCTGCAAGACTTGGGTGTGGGGCCGAGTGCGGTAGGTGAAGGTCACGTTTTCGAAGTCCACCCGGCCCTCCAGGTGGTCAGGGGCCAAGTTCCCATCATGCACCATGGTTGGCTGCCGGTCAATGAACTCGAACACCTTCTCCGCGGCGCCCACTCCTTGCATCAGGCCGCTGTAGACGGAGCCCACGGACTGCGGGGGGAGTAGACACACATTCCTGACCCATCGACGCCCCGATCCTGGGACACCCCCGCCCCTGCCACGGTGCTAGAGAGCTGAAGGGGGTGAGGAGAGAGCAAGCACACAGCAGCAGTTCTGGGGGCGGGGTGCCCACGGGAGGCTGCTGGAGCCCCACCTGCTAGTACAGCAGATCAAGACGACAATGAAAAAATGAGGACAGCAATAAAAAGTACTGGTGCCTTGTGTGTTATAGCTAAACCTCACCACCGTCCAGCAGAGTAGGTGTTATCACCCTCCAGAGGAGGAAACGGAAGCACAGAGAAGTTAAATGAACTAGGCAGAATGTGGCAGAACAGGAATCAGACCTTCCTCTTTCAGCTGTCACAGAATTTTTAAATTTCAATTTTAAAAATGGCCCTTAATTTATACTATACATCTCCTTGGGTAAAAATATACACAAGTATAAGTGTGAATAACGACTCATTTTACTGAGTACTTATATATGTTAAGAGGTAGGTTCTATCATTATCTCCTTTCTGGTGATACGGAAACTGAGGCACAGAGAGCTCAAGTAACTTCCCCCAGGTCACACAGCCAGGAAGTGGCAGAGCCAGGATTCGAACCCAGGCACATCTGGCTCCCAAGTTCAGGCCCTTATGAGCTGTGACTGCGGGTCCTGGTTGATGAAATAGGGGTGATATTAGTACCATTGTCATGGTTCCACGAAGCCAGTGCTCAGCACATAGTAAACCCCCAACACACCACGGCTATGGCTATTCTCATAATATCTGGATATAAGTATTCCTATTGAGATACAAGTGCTTATACAAGTGTATAAGTTGTCCTTCTTGCTTCATCCCAGAGGTGGCCCCGGTTATCCGAGTACCGTGTCTTTCGAGTCCTTTCTCTGTGCTTTTACAAACACATGTACATATGTAATTAAATCATTTTGAGATGGAAAAAAAACCCACAAATGGGATCAGACCATCCTTACGACTCGGGGATTAGCTTTCTCACTAACAGCATGTCTTAGGGGTCTTTCCATGCCAGGGCACACAGCTCTACCTCATTTTTGTGGCTGCTGCCTAGTTTTCATAGCACAGATGGACTGTTTCTAGAATACAGATGTACTGTATTCACCCAATCGCTGGTTGACAGGCATTTAACTTTTCACCATTATTAACAATGCTGCACCGACCCTCCTGGGACACACGTCTTTGCCCACTAGTGTGGATATTTCTGAAGCACGGATTCCGAGACGCCGATTCAAACGACACTGCATGGATGCCTGTAGCTAACGCAAGTGCCATCTGCAGCAGATGCTAACCCACCCCTCCCCTGCCGCACCTTTGAGCTTTATCATTGCAGGACACAGAGGCCCGATCTTAATGCCGGAGGGCTTTGTGGGGGGAGGGAGGCAGACCAGAGGAGCACTCCGAGCACCCTCCAGCAGTGACTGATGGCAGCTTCGGCACAAGCACGCCAGCTCCCTAGTCTCGGGACCTGCTGGTGGGGGCAGCCAAATTAAGACATAAAACCCACTCTGTTCTTTTTCCATGGAGCTACTCTTTAAAGTGGGTTAAAATAAAGTCAGACCATCTGCCTCTGAACTCGGTTCCCTTACCAACGTGGTGGGCAAATCGTTTAACCACTCTGAGCCTCAGCTTCTTCTTCTGGGAAACGGGGACTCTGGAGTAGCACTGACCGCGTATAGTGTGCTCGGGAGAACCTTCTGAGGTAAGTGCTGTCGTTGCCACTGTGCCCCATAAATGGAGTTGCTGTCACTTGTATGTGTTACTCTCTTTATTAGTATTATTGGTATTGTCACGTTCTTTAGAAAGACATACCACCTCCCGTGAACCCTGGAGCACCCCCATTTAGACCCCTCTCCCTTCCCTCTCCCTTCTCCCCAGGGCCCCCCTCCCCCCGCCGGCCCCTCACCTCCATACAATCTCCCAGGACAAACTCGTAGATAATGAAGGAGATGAGATTGCCGCTGGTCATCTGCCCTGAGATGACGAGGTGGCCCCCGTAGTAGAGGATACTGACCTGGACCACCAGCAGAGTGAGCTGGAGGGAAGAGGGAAAGGGGGATCTGAGTCATGGGGGCCTTGGCTCAGACCTTCCCCACAGCCCCTCTGTGCCCTGCCCCGCAGGGGAGGGGAGAGCAGCTGTGGGCGCCTCACTCACGGCCACAGACTGAAACTCCAGCCCACAGCAGGGACGGCCTCCCACAGGCTGGGGCCCTTCTGTCATTCATGCCCTCCCCGCCCCCGCCATGGAGTTTTTCCCTGCAAAGGCCCTCAGCTGGAACAGGCCATGAGCCTGGCTGGGAACAAGGCTTTCTTTGTAAGGCCCTGGCACACATACACAGCCCCCAAGCGCCTCAGCGAGGCCAAACTGGAGCTATTAGTCTTCTCCTCATTGGGAAGAGCATGGTTCAGAGAGGCTGAGTCCACTGGCTAAGGTCACACAGCAAGCCAGGCAAAGCAGACGAGGTCTGTGTTTCCATGAAGGAGGGGCTGTGTCCAGGGTGTGCTTGCCTCCAGTCCCCTCTGGTGTCTGGGGGAGTGCTCTGCAAGAGGAGTGGGACCTGCGTACCCATGACAACCCACTGGGTCCCTATTTGCCCCTCCCCATCCCAAGCCAGCGATGCTGGGTCAGAACTAGATCAATGGCTGGGCCTCAGTGCCTTTGCACACTCGGCAAGAGGCGCCCCTGCCGGTGGGCAGGTGAGCTGGATTTCAGGCCCTTCTTCTCCCTGGCTGGGCACTTTTGAGGGGTGGCCCACCCTGGGGGGACCCAGAAGTTCCTTATTCCCTGCTTTCCCTGTAGACCACCCTCTCTTTCCTCCCCCTAAATTCCAAACCCTCCTCATTCCTACCCCAGCTGTTCCCCAACAGCCCACCCCCAGATGTGGCCAGCACACAGTGACAGGACCCAAGTGCTTCTTCTCCAGGAGGGGCTAAAACTCACCCCCAGGGAGTGAGCTGGACACTCTAATGGGGGCATGTGTGTGGTTGTGACATAGGACCTGCAGGGAAGCCGACCGAGGATGGGTCCCAGCTGGCCTCGGGGTGACTCCCCACCTTGGCAGGGATGCTTCCCTAGCTGGGAAAAGAAAGCTCCTACCCTGCCACCCCACGCCCAGGTGAGAGGGAGAGAGGAGGTGCCCTGCTTGAGGACATGCACCGAGAGGCTGCATTCCTTTCCAGAAAGATTCTCTGAGGACAAGCAGAAAGTTGGGACAAAGTCAAGTGTCACATCAGCATGCCTGGACCTGGGCTAATGTCCTGATCTAGGGGTCCCCCATCTTTATGTGAGACCTGCCCGGGCCGGGGCACGTACCCCGCTGCCCCAGACGTAGTACGTGTAGGCCGCAGCCTCCTTCCTGTTCAGCTTGTAGACCTGCTGCAGCTTCCATGAGTACACCTCCGCCTCTGCCTCCTCGTTGGCGAAGCTCCGGACTGTCTTCATGGCGCTGATGATCTCCTCAGCCGTGCTGCTGGCTCTGGCCAGGGCATTCTGGACCTCTTTGGAGAGCCTCTATGGGTGGGAGGCGCGACAAGAAGAGACCCCAAAACACACAGCCTCACCCTCTGCCTGAGCCCCCAGGCCTCTCTGGTGTTTTCTATCTTTAGCTGGTGCCAGCTCTGTGCAGGGAGTTCCAGGGACAAGGGGATAAGACCCAGCTCCCCTCCTCCCCCATTCCCTTCTAGCTTGATTTGCTGAACTCAGACTCCAGCTGGGCTCTTAGGGTGAGCTCCTGAGGCTCTAGCTCCTGAGGCATGGCGGGGCTGATCATGAAGTCATCTCCAGTATTCAGAGGAGGTTATGCGTGACCATACAGTTTTGGGTAATCCTCTGAGAAAAAGAAGTCTCAATACCTGATTCTGTGCTGGCGTAAGAGCAGGGATGCCCTGGATGGTTGTTCAGGTTGTACACTACACAAGAAACACTAACTATTAAGGAGGCACCATTTACATCCAGCAACATATATTAAATTACGTGAGAGCCTGAGGGTTGGCACAGAGATTCCAGAACTCCTAGCCAAGTTCTAGATGGTGGTGGAGGCCACGGGCTATGAAATCTGCCCTCATCGTGTGCTTGTAACTGGAGACGGATGGCTGAGAAGTGGTTCCAAGTATGTGACCACCAGGCTGCTGTCCACAGAGTTCCAGAAGGCACCCTGGGCCACGCTCTTCAGGCTTTCAGTAACCACACCCAGAATCTCACACCAGCCAGGAAGGCTGCCCAGGAGGCTGAGACAGTCTCCTCCATAGGCATGTCCCATGACCTGCGGGTCATGCCCAGGCCATCGGAAGCATGCAGTACACTCAGGCATCCTGGGAGAAGCCAGCCTGTGCCTTGCGTCATGTCTGGCTGCGGGCGATGTGTGTGGCTTGTGGCGATGACTGTATCCTACACATTCGGGTACAGGTACGAGACCTAAACAGGGCTTCCTTGAGGTCCTGCCCGGTTGAACTTAAAGGTGGGGCCTGAGGTGTGTGCAGAGGCGGGGCTGGTGCAGGGAGCTCCAGGGTTTCCTGCCCCCTCTCAGGGGCGGGCAGGAAGGCAGGAAGGGTGGTGTGGAAGGGAAACGGCTCCAACTCCAACTCATATATTTACTTTTTCTACTCAGGGAGGAAAACAGTGAGGCCGGTGACCCAGAACTGCTGGGGAGAGGGCCCTCCTGGGTCGTGGGCTCTGCCACAGGTGACACATTGGATTGTGGGGAACGGATCCATCTGGGAGCTGGCCTCAGGTCATGGGCGCCAAGGGTTCCGACCAAACGGGGGACCCTGAGCTGATCACGTGTCCCAGCCCCTGCTCACGAGTGTCCCTGCCCCCGCAGGCCTGGAGCACTGAGGAGGGGCCGCCTACACTGTCTGAACCCAGCCTGGCTCCGTTAGGGCTCAGCGGCACCCACCATTGCAGGAAGCAGCAGGAAGGTGAGGCAGGGGCCTAGCTTACAGGCTGACCTTCTGACAGAGGCAGTGCCAAGAGGCGGCCTGAGGGGACTTCTGCCTGCCCATCACTGCATCGTGGGCGAGGGCCTCGCTCCCGGGGGCCTGAGCCCTCCCCCCCGACATAAACGTATAGAAAGAGAGCAAACTTTGCACTCAGAGTGAAAACCAAACTTGCCGCAAAGGCCGACACCATCTGGCCCCCGTCACCTCCCTGCTCTCCCCTCACTCCTGGCTCTGGCCTCACCGGCCTCTCTGAGGCTCCGCAAACATGCCAGGCACATTCCCACCCCAGGGCCTTTGCACTGGCTGTGCCCTCTGCTTGGAATGTGTTTCCCCGAGCCGTCCACCTCTTTACTCAAATGCCACCTCCTCAGAAAGATCTATTTAAAACTGGCAACCAGCCCCAATGCTCCCAATCTCTCTCTTCATTTTTCTCCTTCGCAGTTATGATCTTTTACTGTATTATATATTTTCATTATTAGCGTCGTTGTTATTTATTGTCTGTTTCTCTTATTAGAATATAAGCCTCCTGAAGGCAGGGGCCCTGTCTGTTTCATTGATATAAACCAGTGCCTGGGACACGGTAGGTGCTCAATAAATATTTATTGAATGAGTGAAATGAACCAGTGAATGAACGCAAATGCAGCCTTACGATGAGTCCTTCACTAGCCCCTGGTGGCCCCCTGAACCTGCCTAAGGGGTCACTCAGGAGCTGCCAGGACTCAGACCGCAGCGGGGCCCAGGCGGGGCCTACCTTGTAGTACTTGCCGTAGATGTCAGACACCATCATGATGATGGGGAAGCCCATGAAGGTGACCAAGGAGAGCTGCCAGGAGAGGCTGAACATGAAGACCACCACGCCCGTGACCTTGACCGCGTTCCGCAGGAAGATGTTGATATTCTGGGAGACCAGGTCGCTGACCATGGTGGTGTCCGAGGTGAGGCGGGAGATGAGGTCCCCTGGAACACAGGCAGCTCAGCTCCCGCTGTGGCAATGGGGTCACTGTGGGCAGCGGCAGGGGACCCTTGGGGAGCTCAGACCTTCCCCACCTTCTGGGTGGGGTGGGGAGGGAAGGAGAGCGGATGCCCCTTGAGGGCTGCTCTGAGCCCAGACCTTGTCACCAGCATCTTGCTTCAGCGTCACACCTCCCAGAGCACAGAGGAGGCAGCTGAGGCTCAGGAAAGGGAAGAGGCTTGCTCAGCACCACACAGCGTGGCCGTGACTGAGCCAGAGCTGAGCCCACGTCTCCTCCCTGTCACTGGCAGAGGGGCCACTCCCCTCTTCCCTCACAGAAATAACAATCTGGGCTGTGGAGGAGAGAGGAACAGAAAGCCCTTTACTGACTGCTGGATACTGGGCTAAGGGTTCCACAGCAATCCCACAGGGCAGCTACCGTTATTGTTCCCATCTTACAGAGGAGAAAACAGAGGCTCAGAGAGGTGAAGTTAGTGACAGAGTTTGCACCCAGGCTGGTCTGCCTCAGAGATCTGGGGCAGATGCTGTAATGTCTTCCCTGCTCTGCCCTGCATGTCTGCCCTGCTCACTCCCATAGGAGCTGGGCCTCTCAGGCCACAGGCCTGGGTAGACCCTGCCCTTGCGCTTCCCACAAGCCAGTGGGAGGCGAGGCCTGGTCGCTGCAGGGACAGCGGGTGGCCTAGCGAGGGTCCTATAGTGGCCGCAGTTCACACCAAAACCTCAGCCGGCAGGCCAGCTCCCCAGGGCTCAGGCAGGGCCGGAGGCCCAAGCCAGCCTCCCGGGGTGTCCCCATCCTGAACTGGATGGCAGGAAAAGCCATCAGGACTGAGACCATGGACGTGCCCACTTAAATCCTCAATGCAAGGCAAGCCCACCTGGCCGGGCCCAGCCCCAGGTCCCCCAAGGCCCCAGGAGGACCAACCTGTGCGATTCTCGTCAAAGAAGCTCGTCTCCTGAGATACCAGCGAGCGGAAGAGACGGTTCCGAAGGCGAATGTTCAGTCTGGCAAATATGAGGGTAAAAATGCCGCCCCGAACACCTGCGGCAAATGAGCTAATTGCAGATAAGAGATGTTACATATAGCACGACGTCCTTCCGACAACCAACCGCCACCCCCCGCCACCCCCCCGCTGGCAGGCGTGGGCCCCTCGCAGGGCAGAGACCGGGTGGCACCCCGCCCTCGAGCCCACTCTCCGGAGCTGGCACCTCCACGGGGTTTCCCTGTTCCCAACAGGAGCTCCCAAGGTGAGGGCACAGAGGGGACTGCGTTTACTGTGGGTGAAGGGCCCAGCTCCACCAGCCAGACCCCTCTCCCTTCCAGAGGAGCACAGACAAGGCTGGTCCTTGTTTCCCACTTGGAAAACCGCGGGGGGTGGGAGGGTGCTGGTGAAAGGGGAACCCCGAGGACTGAAGCCATCTGTAGGGACAAAAGGGTGTTGCTCTAGGGTGTGGCTCAACCAAAGGGACAGAACTAAGCCAGTTGGGTTGTTAGTTACCACGGGGACCAGCTGAGGCACAGGCTCCCCGGGGGCATTTCCTGGGCCTCCCTGGCCCCTTTTCCTCTGGGGAGCTGGCCCTGCCCTCCTTCCCCGCGGCAGGCCTGGGCGGGTGGGGGAGGGCAGGGGCCGCTACCTGCCGATGGCCAGCACACACATGACGGTGACGGCCGTGCTGAACTGCTCCATGCTCTTCTGAATGACGATGCCATCAATGGCCCGGCCCGTGTAGTAGGGGAGGAAGGTCTCTCCTGCGGAGACAGGGCGGGCTCAGGGGGCATCGGCACCCAGGGGAGCCTCTGTCCTTCCTCCTGAGCCTCTGGAAGCCCCCAAACCACCCACAGTGCTGACTCCACCGTGGGGTTTTCTCTCTCGGCAAACTCCTGCTTCTCAGCGGGGCAGGGGGCAGGGGGCAGGGGGCAGGGAAGGGGTCCCACACTGCTTAATGCCCTCTCTTTTCAGAGAACAGGAACACGGGAAATGTGAGTTACTTAATCTATACAGACTGCGTCGTGCTATCGTGAATAATGGCGACCAGGCATCGAGCACACAGAGACAAGGGGCTCCCGTGTGACAGTTCACCCCCTCTGCACGTGGACCCTGAAGTCGGCTCTGTTATCACCCATTTTACAGATGAGGAAAGTGGAGCTGAAAAGATGAGCTGACGATTGCTCATCCACACAGCTGGTGGCTGACAGACGCCAAAGTTCACTTCCTTCTTCTCTTTGGCCGAGGGTTCAGAGTCCAAATTCTAGACCCTCAGAGTATGTTGATATTCTGGTTCTGAACAATGCTGTAAATTGCCACCCCGCCCCTCTTGATGGGGCACTTTACAGTTTGTCAGATAATTTCTTACCCATATGTCCTGCTATATCTTCACAACAATCCTGGGTGGACGTGGGGAGGGGGGCACTGGGCAGGGATGTCACCCCATTTCACATGGGAGTGGGAGACTCAGAGAGGCTGAGTAATTCGCCCAAGGCCCCACAGCAATTAAGAGGAAGGGCCAGGACTCAAACCCAAATGAGCTTCCTATCTGGGGGCTCGTTCCTTGTGCCTTCCCTCCCAATAACCCAGAGTAAGTGCCCGCTCCCATCTTATGGAAATGATGGACACGGAAAAGAAGGTGGTTAGACCAGGCTGTGTCCCGTTTTCGCTGCAGCTCTTTCAGCAGCCATAGCCTGGCTCAGGGCTGGGCACACAGGAGTCACTCAATAAAGGTCAATGAATGAACCCTGGGCAGGTAGGGCAGGCCCTTCCCTGGTCAGCTCTGCAGGACTGGCTCAACCAGGACAGTGAGACCTTCTGTAGCGCTCTGGCGCCCTCTGCTGGTTTCAGCACAGGGACAACAGGGCGGCAGCCGAGAGGGCCTCTGTCTCCCCTGTGTCCTTGGCCAGATGGGGTCTCCAGGCACCCCTGTGAAGTTCTACCTCAGCTGAATCTCTGCCTCAGTTTACCTACAGGGAAGTAAAGGGCATCAGCGAGCTCTAGCAGCATTATGATTCCAGCAAGCACCAGTGATGATATTAATCACCATGGATGTTTATGGAGCCCTTGCTGGGTAGGTGCTGTGCTATGCAGGTATGCAAACTCTTTTGTCCAACCTGCCCAAGAACCAGGTGAAACTCTCTAGTCCATCAGCAAATCCTGTGGCTCCACCTTCAAAATATTTCCAGAATTTTCTGCCTCTACTGCCCCACCCAGGTTTGTCAACCTCCTTTGGACTATCTCAGCAAACCCCTGGCTCCCCCTGCTGCCACCTTTATCCCCATCAGCCTGTTCTCCACTCAGCCGACAGCAGGAGCCTGTGAAACCCAAGGCAGGACATCTCATCCAGCATCAAAGTCAAAGGCCTTACAGTGGCTGACGGCACCCTGCACGACTGGGCCCTGCTACTGAGCTGCCTCACCTTCTTTCCCCCGACTCCCTCTGCTCCAGCTGCGCTGGCCTCTCTGCTTTTCCTTTAACAATCAGGCACCTTCCTGCCTCAGGACATTTGCACAGGCTGTTCCCTTTGCCTGGAGCACTGTTACCCCAGATAGCTGCTCCCTCATCTCTTTCAAGTCTCAAATGCTTCCCAATAACCCCATAGGTGGTCTATTATCATTCTTCCCATTTTACAGATGAGGAAACTGAGGCTCAGTCATTTGCCCAAGGTTATTGTAGTTAGGTTGCCATGAAATCCATATCTCAACGGGAGATACTCACAATGGGTGGTTTTTCTTTTAGATTATAAGGTTTCAGAAAAAGCTGAACCCTACTGGATGCTTGCTGATTGAAAAATAATTGTTAATAATCACAGTACCTAACTTTTATGAAGAAGTACCTAGTTTTGTCAGGCACTGTGCTTCACCTCATTTAATTTTCACAATAACCTGAAGAAGCCCTCATTGCAGTATGAGAAGCTGAAGCTTGGCCACGTTAAGTAAACTTGATTAAAATTACTGATGCAGTCGGGGGGCCTAATTTCAAGTTGAAGCCCATAACCTTGACATAATCCTGCAGGCTGGTGCAATCTGCTCGGCTGTATTTTAGGACATCTGTATTCCCTAAGCGCACACCAGCTGACAACAGCACCCTGGGAGGCAGGGGAAACGAGGCCGTGGGGGCAACATCTGCCCACACAGGCAGGACGGTCATTCATTCATTCATTCATTCACTCAGTAAGTCTGATTCTGTGCCAGGTATCAGGGGCCCTGGATGAGTCAGACCTGGCCCCTGTCCGCAAGGGGCTCAAAGCCTGGAAGGGGAGAAAGGAGAGTGGACATGTGATTTTCATGTCACTGATGCTGTAATTAAGGGCCACGGTCAGCAGAATCTGAGTAGGCATCTCAGGAGCAGACATTTGGGCCTTGAAGCATGAGTAGGAGAAACTGTCTGGTTAAATGGAAAGGGGTCATCCCAACACTCACGGCCACTAAAGTTTACTGGGAGCTTTCTATGTGCCACGAGCTGTCCGAGGCGTCTTGCTCAGATTAACTCACTGAACCTCACAACCCCGCAACTGCTGACGCCCATTTTACAGATGAGGAGATGAGACTTAGAGAGGTTAAGTAACTTGCCTAAAATCACACAGCGGTTAAGGGGCCGGGACTGAGAGGATGGAGGATGGATGGTACAAGGAAATGGGCTCTGGGGTTCGCCTGTCCTCTTTGAGATCACTCTGGCTTTGTGGCTACTCCCAGACTCTGTCCCTGGGAGTTAAACATGTAACGACTCATAGCAGCTAACATTCCTGTACTCATCATGCCGTACCAAGCTCTGTACCTGTCCTTCTCCTCTCTGTCTGTTTTTTTTTTTTTTTTTGTGGTACGCGGGCCTCTCACTACTGTGGCCTCTCCCGTTGCGGAGCACAGGCTCCGGACGTGCAGGCCCAGCGGCCATGGCTCACGGGCCCAGCCGCTCCGTGGCATGTGGGATCTTCCCGGACCGGGGCACAAACCCGTGTCCCCTGCATCGGCAGGCAGACTCTCAACCACTGCGCCACCAGGGAAGCTCCTCCTCTCTGTCTTTTTATTCAAACTTTACAATACCTTGGGATAAGGATGCTCCCAATCCCCATTTCACAGAAGGAGGAAATGAGTCTCTGAAAGGTTTGAGCACTTGCCCACGAACCCCCAGAACCCGTGGAGTTTCCACCCCGTGATGTCCCTTCCCACCCACGTTGCTGGAGTGTTGCTTTAAAACTGTTTGGACCAGATCCACAGTAACAGATACAATTTACATCACCAACCAGGACACACACACAGGTGCACACAGGTAAAATAAAAGTTTCACAAAACAATACTTAATCTTACCACAGACTACATACCCTGATGGTTCTATTCTATTCTGCTTCATTACAAAAAATGCTTTGAACCTATAAATGCCATTTCTAGGAACTTATCCTACAGATATATGCACATTTATATGAAACATGTATGAACAAGAGAAAAAGACTCAAAACAACCCAAGAGTCCAACAACGGGAGACCGACTAAATAATCTATGGTACAGCCACACAGTGCAGTATTACACAGCCAAATAAAAGAATGAGATACCGATTGGAAAAATTCCGGGATATATTGTTAAGTGAGAAAAGCAAGACACAGAATGGAGTGTAAGAGGTGGGGAGAGGGACGTGTACTTATTTGCTTGTAGCCGCATAAGGAAACGCTGGAAGCATATACAAGAAAGGAATAAAAGTGGTTTCCTGCCCACTTGGAAGCTTCCGGAACCTTTTTCTGTAGGTAGCCCTGGGCACCGGGATCAGGGTAGTCAGGAGTAGAATTAGGAGTGAAACTCTCAGTGTTTACCTTTGCGTATCAATTTGATATCTGAACCACGTAAATAAGATGTTAAAATGTGAGAGGAAAGAAGAGAGCCCTCACTTACCCAGTGCTGCCATGATGAGGAAGAAGGAGGCGGCCACGAGGAAGGCGATGTCGGGCTTGGTGTAGGACAGCAGCTTCTGCAGCGTGGCCCCGGAGGCCTGCTCAGGCGCGGGCCGGTCCTCCCCAGGGGGGCCCTCGGCCTCGGCCCCTGCCCCCCGCTCGAGGGCCTTGGCGTCCGGCTGCACTGTGGACAGCAGCCACCAGAGCAGGAAGGACGCAGCAAGTGAGATGTAGGTCCACACAAAGAGGGCCCAGAACCACGGGTCCCGGACTGGCTTGCGTACCTCGGAGAAGAGCAGCAGCTTCACCATGGTGTAGATGCCCGCGAAGAGGCACACAAGGGCGATGACCGTCCATGAGGCCCGCAGCCGCCGGGGCCCCAGGGCGCTGTTCTTGGCCACGCCGATGGTGGCCCCCAGCAGCAGGCAGCTGCGGTACAGGCAGGCCGCCCAGAGGTCCAGCACCGAGTCAAAGATGTTGAAGTGCCGGATGTCCTCCAGGAGGCTGCGGTCCAGGTGGCTGAGGACATAGATGGCCGTGGTCATGCCGACATCCAAGCTCATGAAGGCCAGGGTCACCACCACTGCCTTCCACAGCTGCATCCTGCTGGCGGGTGGTGGGCAGGCACCGAGGGGCAGGCTCTAGCTCATGGGGGCAAGGCCATTGTCTGTGGGGTGAGGCCAGACCTGTAGGAGCAACAGGGCAAGGGGTTCAGGTGTGCTACTTGCTGGCTGTGTGACCTTGGGCAAGTCACCTGACGTCTCTGAGCCTCAGATTCCTCATCTGTAAAATGGCAGTGACAAGAATACTGATTTCACAGAGGTATTGTGACGGCTCCACTCATTCAAGGAATATTTATTGAGCACCCTCTGTGGGCCAGACTCTGTTCTTTGCACTGGGGATTTAACAGTGAACAAAAATAACAAAGACCCCTGCTCTTGTGGGAGAGACAGACAATAAACATAATAACTAAATGATACAGTATGTTAAGAGATAGGGCTGGGGTGTGAGGAATGAGGGGCCATGAGGGGCGGTGAGGGCAATTTTAAATAGTGGGCCAGGGCCTCCCTGGTGGCGCAGTGGTTAAGAATCTGCCTGCCAATGCAGGGGACATGAGTTTGAGCCCTGGTCTGGGAAGATCCCACATGCTGCGGAGCAACTAAGCCCATGTGCCACAACTACTGAGCCTAGAGTGCTCTAGAGCCTGCGAGCCACAACTACTGAGCCCGCGTGCCTAGAGCCCGTGCTCTGCAACAAGAGAAGCCACCGCAATGAGAAGCCCGCGCACTGCAACGAAGAGTAGCCCCAGCTCACCGCAACTGGAGACAGCCCGCGCGCAGCAACGAAGACCCAACACAGACAAAAACAAACAAACAAACAAATAAATAAACAAATAGGGGGCCAGGGAAGACCTCGCTGTGAAGGTAAACCTTGAGTAAGGCTGAAAGAGGTGAGGGAGTCTGCCACGTGGAGATCTGGGGGAAAAGCATTTTGGACAGGTGGAACAGACAATGCCAGAGCCTGAGGTAGGAACGTGTGGCTTGAGGGAGGCAAAGAGGCCCCATGAGGTCAGAGAGGTGAGGGTGCAGGGATGTGCAGGGCTCTGCAGATGAAACTGAAATCAGCAAAGGATATAATGAAGACTCATTGCCTTATGACTACTACCGCTACTACTACTACCATCATTAATTTCTCTGAACCTGTTTCTTCTTTTGTAAAATGTTAGCAGGAGGTTTAATATGTGAACATCAGGTCTGGGCACAGTGCCGAGCCCGTAATAATTGCTACTGATTGTTACCACATATAGTGCATGTTTAATAAACGTTTGTCCACTTCCCTCCTCCCCACATCAGGCCTTCAGTCTCCCGAAATAAACCTGAACCCTCTTAGACCAAGAAGGGGTGTCTGCAGGCCTGTGAGCAACCCAGAGACTTTTGTATCTGCCTGGAAGTTTCCAGAATCTTTTCCTCCAGCCCAGGTTGCCCCTCGCCCTCAGCCCTAGCCCGTTGTGGTTTTCTGGAGTGCGATGTCTGCTTTGCCTAAGGTATGTCCCACGCTGGGTCCTTCAGGCCTGGACCAGGGCCTGGGAGACGCCAGGAGCTGCAGAGACACGGAGGGAGGTGGGCCTGGGGGCCTGAGTTTGGGAGTGGGGCTTGTCCAGGGCAGGACTGGGACCAGACTGGGTGCGCCCCTGAGTGCCACCTCATGACTTGGGTTCGTCCCTTTCTCCCCTGGGGTCTTTGTTGTCCCATCTGCAAAATGGGCAAAGCTCTGGAGTCCCCAGCGGAGGGGAGAGGTGCAGAGCAACAGGAGGGGTGACTGTGAGTAGTGACTGGGAATGGGGGCCAGACTGAGAGACCCTCTCCCCCCACAGCTCCAGTGCTCAGACCAATGTCAGAAACCCCACACAACCCCATGAGGCTGCTGCTTCCACATTCCCATTTACAGCTGGAGAAACTGAGGCACACAGAGGCAAAAGCACATGGCCCATATCACTCAGCCAACAAAGGCCCAAGCCAGGACTCGAGCCAGTGTGTGAAGGGTCCCAGCACCTGGCTCGCAATCTCGGTACCACATGCCTGACACACAGCAGGTGCCCAATTACTACAAGCAAACAGTTACGCAGCACGGCCCTTCCTAGCAGCCCCGCCCTTTATGTGGGTCACGTGCTTTGTATGTGTCTGCTTATTTAATCCTCACAGCAACTTCACGAGATTTACACTATTATCATCCCCATTTAGCTGATGGAGAAACTGAGGCCCAGAGAAGCTAATAACTTGCCAAAGATCACACAGCTGGTGAGCAGCAGGGCCGAGATTTGAACGCAGAGCTGTCTGGTTCCAAAAGCTGGGCTCTAAACTGCTAAGCTAAAGTGCTTGTCAATATAGCAAGTCCTTACTCACGGCAGCCAAGACATGGAAGCAACCTAAATGTCCATCGACAGATGAATGGGTAAAGAAGATGTGGTACATATCCACAATGGAATACTACTCAGCCATAAAAAAGAATGAAATAATGCCCTTTGCAGCAACGTGGATGGACCTAGAGATTATCATACTAAGTGAAGTGAGTCAGAAAGAGAAAGACAAATACCATATGATGTCACTTATATGTGGAATCTAAAATATGACACAAATATTTATGAAACAGAAACAGACTCACAGACATAGAAAAAAGACTTGTGGTTACCAAAGGGTGGGGAAGGGATAAATTAGGAGTTTGGGACTAGCAGATACAAACTACTGCCTATAAAACAGATAAACAACAAGGTCCTACTGTATAGCACAGGGCACTATATTCAATATCCTGTAATAAACCATAATGGAAAAGAATATGAAAAAGAATATGTATATATATGGATACCTGAATCACTTTGCTGTACACCAGAAACTAACACATTCTAAATCAACTATACTTCAATTAAATATATATATATATATACACACACACACACACACACATACGTACATATAGCAAGTGCTAACAGAGAGTATTCACTGAAGGAGAATAGTCTATACCAGAGGGGGCTCAGCTAAGAAGCAGAACTGATGACACACCGTGACAACAATGACAAGGACAGCAGCAATAGTAACAAGAGCTGACACTTATTGATGTTATTGTGCACCTGGCACTGTTCTGAGTAATTTACATGCATTCATCCTCACAAGAATCCTATGAGGTATGTTCTATTACCATCCCCATTTTCTGGTGAGAAAATTGAGGCACAGAGAGGTTAAGTAACCTGCCCCAGGTCACACAGCTAGGAAGTGGCACACCTGGGATGTGAACCAAGGCCTTCGAGTTCCAAAATCTGTGCTCTCAACTCCAAAGGCATAATTCTTCAAAACAGCATCTCAGGGGTAGGCAAGACCTTTAATGATGCTCAGGAGGGTCTGAGATGCAGAGGGGACCCAGGGGCGTGACGGTCCCCAAGCCTGGGCCCTGCTGTCACCACAGCACTTCTAGGAAGACTCAAGTATGTTCCAGAGAAGACAGTTGCTTTGTCAGCAGCTGCCTCTCCAAGGGAAGCCAGGGCTGACTGGGATCAAGGGCAGGGGAGGAGTGAAGGTGGGGACAGGGGAACAGACACCCCCTGCCCAGGCCCTTGTTCCACCCCCAGCCCTGGCTGGGCTGCCAGCGCAGGCTTCTATCTGCTGCAATGCAGAGGCCTCGAGGAGCCAGCAAGTGGGTGAGTGTGAGTCGGAGCCCAGGGAGGGATGCTCTTGGCCGGGTGCCTCACCAGGCCTCCTGGCCAAGCTACTGCCGGCTGCCTGGGCCCCATCAGCCACCTTGGCTGCAACTCACCTCTTGGTGGTACAAGGAGTCCCTTAGCTGCCGGGAAGGAGCTGAGATTCAGAAGTGGGACAGGAGGCAGATCTGCCAGAGAGCAGCCCAGGGGCTTGGCCAGCTCTCCCCATCCCGACTCCCAGTCACCGGGTCAGTCCCTTCCCGACACCCTCCGCTTCGGGTAATGTCATTTGACAACCACCCACATGGGAGCCCCAGCTGTTTATCTTCTTCACTGGAATAAAAGAAAATTTTGCACTCCAGCATCACAGACTATTTGAACCACGTTTTACAGATGGGGAAACTAAGGCCCAGAGAGGGAGGGAGGGAGGCTTGTCTAAGGTCACCCCGTGAGCTGGGGACAGAACAGCAAGAGCACCGGGGTCCCCAGCTTCTAAGTGCTGAGTCCTTCTACTCCAGGCTCTGATGGAGCAGAATCCAACTTGGGTCAGGTTACAGCCCTCAGTGGGGACAGACTACTCTGTTATTTTTAAAGTTACTGAGCAGAAGAGTGAAGGGGACGAGACCACCAGCCAAGACTGGGAGGAGGGGAGGATGGGGGCCAGTGGGCTGGTTGGAGCCATGTCCCAGCACACCATCTACCTGACCTGGAGGACGCAACTGAGCTTGGCCAGGTGGAGCAGGAGGGCAAATCGTGGGCACATGGGTGACGTGTGTGCCCCAAGGGACAAGGACAAGGTGGTGGCCAGAGGTCAGAGCAGGCACTGCCCAGGGCCTGCTGTGCCCAGGAAGACAGGGTCAACTCGCCTTGACCCCAAGAGCTAAGGAATGGCACAGATTAGCAAGTGACCACATCCCCACTGCAGGTCCTGTCAAAGGCTTTTCTTCCCAGTAGAAGAAATGGTGGTTGGGGCATCTCCAGCTGTCAGGTGCACAAAAGGAAAGTCTGGAACGGCCAGGAGATAACAAATAGCAATTATTATCATAACCACAGCAGTTATAGTTTATGGGGTGTTACTAAGTGCCTGACAATGTGCTAAGTGCCTGTCACCTCCCGTCCCAGTTAATCCTCAGCACTACTCTGGGACGTTCTCTCGGTTATCATTCCCATTTTACAGATAGGGAAACAGAGGCTTGGGGAAGTCAAATGACCTGAAGAGAATAGGCAAAGGCAGAGCTGAAACCCCACACTTCACTCTCTGGGCCCAGGCTATTCAGGGCTCCCAAGAAAGGGTCCTGAAGGGCCTGGGGGGCCCACGCAGCTCAGCTCTCCCCCAACTTTGGGGGTGAACTTTTCACCCCAAAGCAGTCATCACCCAGCTGACTGGGGCTGGTTCTGTGGGACAGTGTCATTGTGGGGTCTCTGGATGCAGGGCCAGGACTCAGCTGAGTCCACGTTATTCCATCCTGACTCCCACCCTTGCTGAGCCCGCACATCCCACACTGGCACCTGGGGAAGTTGTTTCAGATAACTCACCGCTCTAGGTGAGGCAAACTGGGGAGTCACTGTGGCCTTCCTGCCGTCCTCCTCTTGTCACCTGTCACCTGCCCACCTGAAGCAGGGGAATTGAGGGCAGCCTAACTCCAGGGCAGGGGGAGTCCTGTCAGACCAGCTTAAAGCTGTCTGAATTAACGTCATGTCTGGGGAGGGGGCACCCTGTTTTAACAAAGAACTAGAAATAAGGGAGAGGCCCTTGGGAAGCCTCAGGCCTAACTGCCGGGGTGGATGCAGAGAAGGGTCAGCCCATTGGCCAGCTGGGGGGACTGAGGGGAAGGGGTTTGCCAAGGTCGGCAGGTCCAGGCCTGCTCCCAGGTTTCTGACATAGCCAGCCTCTCAGGATCTGTGGGCAGGCAACGCTGTAGGGTGTGGGGAGCCCTCAGAAGAGGCGCCAGTCCGATCCTGGGGGGAGAACAGCCATCCCAGGATCCACGCCAAAAGGCACCCTCACCATTTTCCAAGAGGTGGCGGCACATGAATGGTTAAAAAAAAAAAAAAAGCAACATTCTCCCTGCGGCGTGGAAAGGATGCTGCAGGGATGGGGGGCTGGGACCTGCGGCTGCGGGTGCTAGGGTACCAGGAGGGGGGGCCAGGAAGTCTCCCACCTTCAACTGAGATGTCTACTCCATCCCCGGGGCAGGGAGAGCCAAATGTCCCTCCAGCCTGTGCCCGGTCTGGCACTTCGACTTGAGAAAGACCCGGGTCGGGGGTCCCGGGCCCCGCACTCTTACCTGTCACCTTACCTGGCACCAGGTGAGCCGTGGGGAGGGGGCGCAGCGGGCTGGGGTCCTCAGGGGCGCGGGCTCCGCGCGGTTCATTGGGGACAGCGCCCGGCGCCCCGCTCGCTCCACCCCTCCCGCTGCTCCTCCGTGCCTCCCGCCCCCGGCTGCTGCGCAGCAGCAAGGTCGGAGCAGAGGGGGGCTGGCACACAGGCCAGCTGACGGGCAGGGCGGGGCCTCCTGGTGGACGGGGCCTTCGTGGGGGCGTGACCACAGCTAGCCACCGCCCACCTGCGACGAGCCCCGCCCTCATCCGCAGGACCAGGCCCTTCCGCTCGGTGCTCCACCCCTGGAGACCTCAGGCCCATTCTGAGCAGAAGGAAGTGGCCACAGCTGCTGGGGGCGCCTGCTCTTTAACCGTCCTTTTCCTCTGGAGGGCCTACCAGCCAGCCTCGGAGGATGGAGGTTAGGATCCTCGTTCCTTCCTTCATTCAACCAATATTTGTTGAAAGGCACCTGCTATGTGCCGTGCACCATTCTAAGCGTTTGCGATGCTACAGGGAACAAAACGAGATCCTTGCCCTTCTGGAGCTGACATTCTAGTGAGGGAGTCAGGCGATACACGTAATGAATAAGTAAATTATACCTGTTGGAAGGGAATACATTTCACGGAGAAAAACCGAGCCAGGGCGGTGGGGCTTGGGAGAGGGAGACAGCTGTATGCACTCAGCGATCGCTGGGTGCTGGGGGCTGGGTGCTGGGTGCTGGGTGTGAAAAAAGACGGAAAACTCCCATCCTTCGCGGGGTGGGGGAGATAGAAAACCAACAAGTAAATAACATAATTTCATGTGGTGCCAAGTATGATTTATTTCCTGTAAAGAAAATAAAACTGGGTGAGGCAATGGAAAGTGCCATGGGGTTTCTTTAGCTGGGAAGGGCTCCCTGAGAGAGGTGAAAGGTGAGAAGGAGGGAGCCATGGAGAGGTTTGGGGGGAGAGCATTCTACATGAAAGGAACTGCCAGTGGAAAGGCTCTGAGGTGGGAACTCACCTGGCATTTGAGGAGCAGAAAAGGGATCAGTTTGGACTGAACCAAGAGCTGAGGAGAGTAGGTGAAGCCCAGAGGGGCGGCAGGTGAGGCAAGATATACCCCCATCTCTCCAGCCTCCGGTCAGAGGCTAAAAATGCTCTCTGAATGTAAAACAGCCTCTGCTTCTCACATGGGACAGCCTCCTTCAAGGGGAATTTGGCAAAGTGCAGGATTGTAAATGTACTTTTTTTCCCTGACCCAGTAGGAACTGCTTCTATAGATAGACTTGTGGAGGGCGAAGATACTGGTTTGCAGGTAGTCACTGGAGTAGCAAAAGTCTGGAAACAACCTAAATACCCTTCCGTAGGGAACTGGCCAAATAATTACAGAGCATCGCTCAAAAAAATACCCTGTAGCGTGGGGGGAAAAAATCTATGTATCTATCCATACACAAATGTTACCTAAAGGTATGAAATTACCTCCAAAATCTATTGAGTAAAAACAAGGGGGAGAATCAAGCTGAAGTGTGATACTGTTTGTGCAAAAACAAAAGCAAATATTAATTGTATGTGAAGAAAAGCTCTTGGATGGATTATCCAAAAGCTAGAATGACTCAGGTCTGGGGCCAAATCCAGGCTCTGTCTTTTTTTTTTTTTTTTTTTTTGCGGTACGCGGGCCTCTCACTGTGGTGGCCTCTCCCGTTGCGGAGCACAGGCTCTGGATGCGCAGGCTCAGTGGCCGTGGCTCACGGGCCCAGCCGCTCCGCGGCATGTGGGATCTTCCCGGACCGGGGCACAAACCCGTATCCCCTGCATCGGCAGGCGGACTCTTAACCACTGCGCCACCAGGGAAGCCCCAAGCTCTGTCATTTTTGCTGTGTGAAAATAGCCAACACAGTATTGAAGGAGCAAAACAAATTTGGTGTACTGACACTACCCGACTTCAAGACGTATTATATAAAGCTGCAGTAATCAGGACAGTGTGGTGTTGACAAAAGAACAAATAGATCAATGGGACAGAATAGAGAGCCCAGAAATAGAACCATATAAATACAGGCAACTGATCTCCGACAAAGGAGTAAAGGCCATACAGTGGAGAAAAGACAAATGGTGCTTTGCAACAAATGGTGCTGAAACAACTGGACATACACGTGCAAAAAATACATATATATATTGACACAGACCTTACACCTTTCACAAAAGTTAACTCAAGATGGATCATAGACCTAAATGTAAAACACAAAACTATAAAACTCCTACAAGATAACCTAGGAGAAAATCTAGATTTTCTTGGGCATGGAGATGATTTTTTAGATGTAATACTAAAGGCATGATCCATGAAAGAAAGAATTGATAAGCTAGACTTCATTAAAGTTAAAAACTTCCACTCTGTGAAAGATATTGTCAAGGGAATGAGAAGATAAGCCACAGACTGGGAGAAAATATATCTGATAAACGACTGTTATCCAAAATATACAAAGAACTCTTAAAGCCCAACAATAAGAAAGCAAATAACCTGATTTAAAAAGAGGGAAAAGACCTGAACAGACACCTCACCAAATGAAATATACAGATGAAAAATAAACGTGAAAAGATGCTCAACGTAATTTGTCATTAGAAAATTGCAAATTAAAACAACAATAAGGTACTATTACATACCTAATAGAATGGCCAAAATCCAAAACACTGACAACACCAAATGCTGACGAAGATGTGGAGAAACAGGAACTCTCTTTCATTGCTGGTGGGAATGCAAAACAGCACAGTTACTTTGGAAGACAGTTTGGCGGCTTCTTATGAAACTAAACATACTTCTACCATACGATCCAGCAATCATGCTCCTTTGTATTTACCCAAACGAGTTGAAAACTTATGGCCACACAAAAACCTGCACATAGATGTCTATAGCAGCTTTATTCATAAATGCCAAAACTTGGAAGCAACCAAGATGTCCTTCAGTAGGTGAATGGATAAAATGGTAATTCAGACAATGGAATATTACTCAGTGCTAAGACTAAATGAATTACCAAGCCATAAAAAAGACATGGAAGAAACATAAATGCATATTACTAAGGGAGAGAAGCCAATCGGAAAAGGCTACACACTGTATGATTCCAACTATATCATATTCTGGAAAAGATAAAACTATGCAGACGGTAAAAGGATCAGTGGTTGCCAGGGGTTAAGGGAGGATGGGGGGATGAACAGGCAGAGAGTAGAGGATTTTCAGGGCAGTGAAACTATTCTGTATGATACCGTAATGGTAGATATATGGCCCTAAACATTGTCAAAAACCATAGAATATACAACTCCAAGAGTGAACCCTAATGTGAACTATGCACTTTGGGTGATAATGATGCATCAATGTGACACTCGATTGTAACAAATGTACCATCTGATGTGGGATGTTTGTAGTGGGGGAGGCTCTGTGTGGGAGGGGGGCAGGGAGCACGTGGTAAATCTCTGTACTTTCCTCTCCATTTTGCTATGAACCTAAAACTGTTCTAAAGAATAAAGTCTATTAAAAAATTGGTTAAATGGCCAATTTTATGTTATGTATGTTTTAACCACAATAAAAATTGTTCATAGCAGCTTCATTCATGACATCACCAAACCGGAAACAATGCAAATGTCCATCAACTGTAGAATGACTCAGTGAATGGTGGCGTGGTCACCAGGTGGAATACTATGCAGCCATGAAAAGGGACGAGCCACTGCTATACATAGTGACACAGATGAATCTTAAAAACATAACACTGGGCTTCCCTGATGGCGCAGTGGTTAAGAATCCGCCTGCCAGTGCACGGGACATGGGTTCGAGCCCTGGTCCGGGAAGATCCCACATGCCGCAGAGCCTGCGTGCCACAACTATTGAAGCCTGCGCACGTAGAGCCCGTGCTCCACAACAAGAGAAGCCACCGCAATGAGAAGCCTGCGCACCTCAATGAAGAGTGGCCCCCACTCGCCGCAACTAGAGAAAGCCCACGTGCAGCAACGAAGACCCAACACAGCCAATAAATAAATAAATTAATTAATTTAAAAAAAGAGAACATAATGCTGGGGGTTGGGGAGGATAAATTAGGAGTTTGGGATTAGCAGATACAAACTACTATATATAAAAGAGATAAACAAGGGAACTAGATTCAATATCCTGTAATAAACCATAAAGGAAAAAAGTATGAAAAAGCATACATACAAATGAAAAAGAATGTATATTATATATGTACGTATAACTGAACACCAAAAGCTGACACATTGTAAATCAACTATACTTCAATTAAAAAAAAAAAGAACATAATGCTGAGTGAAAGAAGTGGTATACAAAATAATACATGATTTTATTTTTTTATTATTTTTTTCATATGATTTTATTTGTATCAAATTCAAGAACAGGCAAGACTGATCTTTGCTCTTAGAAGTCAGAATAGTGTCTACCCTCAGCAGGTGGCTAGTGACTGATGGGGAGGGACACGGATGGGGGCTTCTGCAGGGCTGGGATGTTCTGTTTTGGGATCTGGGTGCTGTCTAGTTTGTGAAAATTCACCAAACTGTACACTTATGATTTGTGCCCATTTGTGCATGTGTGCTGTCAATTCAAAAGAATATGTATAGACACATGTATACATATATATACACGTACATACCATACATATATACATATACATACACGTACACACACACACACACACACACATCACTCTGGAATCCAAAGGATGGGTGTTCTAATTCTGGTTCTGCACTCACAAGGTTTATGACCCTAGACAGGCCCCTGTACTTCACTGAGCCTCTGTTTCCTCATCCGCAAAATAGGGATAATAATACCTCACAAGGTCAACAAAAGGACGTCAGTGCTGGCAACGAGCATACTGATTCGGTGCTTACTACTAATATTCTGGCTGCTGTTCCCTTTGGTGACCAAGCCCAGGCTGGGGCAGGGTGGGGCTGGGACTCTGTTTCCAAGGAAGAAATGGGGCATGGGGAGGGCCAGTCTAAACTGAGGAGCAGGAAATGGTTATCTTGCAAAAACTACTGTAAAAGGAGAACACTAGCCAGGGAGCCGGGGTGTGCACGTGTGTGTGTTGCGGGGGAAGCTGCTGGGGTCCAGCCTGCGTGGTGGCTGCCTGGGGAGCTGGTCTCCCCTGAGCCTCCTGGGGAAGGAAGGCCCTTAGGAGTGGGATGAACGCAGAGCTGGGGAAATGGATCCTTTCCTGGAGAGCAGGGCCCTTCACTATCGCTGGGCAATCAAGATGGCTGTAAAACTTTAATCACCTTCTCAGGCCACACAGCTCTGGGCTGGGGAGCTGGGTCCTTGAGGGGGGAAGCAGGTCCTCAACCGTCATTCTCCTCCCTGGGGAAGCCTGGTAGCTTCAGGAGGCTTGGGCTAGGCCCCAGGATCTCCGCGGCCCAGTGACCTGGATTTCACACCTGAGGAGGGGAGGGGGCACTGAGAGACCTGGCTGCACCTTTAGGAACAACCCAGCAGAGTCAGACTTGGGTTCCATTCCAGACTCCACCATGTATGAGCTGTGTGACCTTGGTGGGTCATTCAAGCCATCTGAACCTTGTTTTCCACATCTGTAAAATGGGGATAGTTCCTACCGCATAGGGTTTGTTGTGAGGACTAAACAGCTTCCCTTTGCAAACAGAGTAAAATCCAAAATGTTCCCAGTGGCCTACTAAGCCCAATGATTTGGTCTCAATACCACCTGGCCTCCTTCCCTATGACTTGCCCTCTTGTATGCTTTTCGCTGTTCTCCAAGCATGCCAAGCTCAGCCCACTGCAGGGCCTTTGCCCCTTCAGTCTCCCTGTCTAGAACCCTTTCCTGCAGATCTTGCTGCAGGAGTTAGAGCTCAGCTGAAATGTCACTCTTCAGGAGGCCTTCCCTGGCCACCGTGTCCGAAGCAGCTGCCTCCAGGCACTCACCGTCTCATCAGCCTAGTGCCTTCCCAGCACTTACAACTGAACGAGGATAACCTGATCTCGTACTGGTCTCCTTGCTTGTTCCTGTCTCCCCCACTCGACTGAAAGCTTCAGAAGGCAGGGATCTTGTCCGTCACTCAAAACACACTTGCACACACTCACATGCACTCCTTCCACACTCCCAGACAGGAGGGTCTCGCTGCCCCTGCCCAGCCAGTGTGAAAACCAATCAGGCTGTTGTGCAGGCTCTGTCCAGAGAGCAGGGGCCCTCTTCCGGCCCCTCAAGGTGCTGGAGGGGAGACTTCGCTGGCTCAAGCCTTGGTCCCCAGAATGTGCTGATGGAGACAGCTGGGAGGACGGCCTGGCACTGCACTACAGGGCCTGGAGGTTTCCCATCTTCCTTCTGGGGTCCTGGGGCTTCAGCAGGAGCAAGGGGTGGGCCGCGGAGCCCTGAAGAAGACAGGAACAGGGGCTGTGTTGCCTGTGTGTTTGTGTGTGACTGTGTGTGGGATGTGAGTGTGGGTGAGTACTTTTGTGAGGGTGTGCATGTGTGTGAGATATTGGGTGTACGAATAGGAGTGTGCGACTGTGACCGTATGTGGAATGTTGTGTGTGTTCAAGCGAGGGTGTGTGTTGATGGTATGTGTGAGGGTGTAAGCACATGTGTAATTGTGTGTGAATGTGTTAGCATGTGTGAGCATGTAAGGCTGTGTTTGAGTGTGTGTGTGACTGTGGATGTGAGTGTGTAAGCATGAACCTGTGTCTACACATGGGGAAAGGAAAGCAGAGTTATCAAGAAAATGCCAACAAGGGAATTCCCTGGCGGTCCAGTGGTTAGGTCTCGGTGCTTCCACTGCAGGGGGCATGGGCTTGATCCCTGGTTGGGGAACAAAGATCCTGCAAGCCACACGGTGCGACCAAAAAATATATATATATATATATATTTATATATAAAGAAGAAAGAAAGAGACAGAGAGAGGAAGGAAGGGAGGGAGGGAGGGAGGGAGGAAGGAAGGAAGGAAATGCCAACAAGCCCAAAGAGAAAAGTCAACATCCCTCAAAATCCCACCACTCAGAGTATTCCTATTGTGGTGAACAGGGAACTCAGACAGCAGACTGTTGGGTTCAAACCCCATACGTGTCCCTTACTGGAGAGTGACAGGGGGCAAGTCACTGCACCTCTCTGGGCCTCAGGTTCCCCCGTCTGTAACACGGTGATATAACAGTACCTAGCTCAAAGGTTTGCTGTAAGGATGAAAGGAGATAAGGTGGGTGGTAGATGTGTTAGCTCAGGTCCAGTAGAGAGGAGCCTCGGTCAACAGCTGTCATCTGCAGTCACCTGTTGATCTAGGGTAAGGGCCAGAGTCTTAAAGCCCCAGAGTCTTCCTCCCCACCCCCATCCCTGTATCACGCTGAGCCATGGAGGTAACTCTAAGGCAGGGGACAGGGGACATTTCCAGGGGTCAAGACTTCCTCCCCAGCTGCACGCCTTAGTTCTGCCAGCTCAATAGGATTGACATCCAAGCTGCTTCTCGGGGCTTTGCAGAGCGGGGTCTTGGGGATGCATGGCGGACCATGACGGGGTTCCCAAGGTATGGCTTGCGTGTGCTGTGATGGGTCTCCCCGAGGATGGAGGGCACGCTCTGTAAGACAGAAACATACTCAGCTCACACTGCGGCTGTACAGAACTTGAACCTGGTTGCGCTGGGTGCGGCCACCGACCGACCACGCCCTATTCACACCTGAATCCGTCGGGAGCACCACCGGAAGTCTCACCGGACTGAGCGTTTTCGTGGGGACACTCACTGGGGCGATCCGCGGCGAACCCTGAGACTGTGGCGTTAGCAACGGGAGCGCCGGGCAAGGACCCGGGATAAATGCTAAACCCAAGCTCAGACGCACAAAACTGGAGAGCAGTTGGAGGGAACGAGGTCAGACCCTAGAGCTCTGTCCTCGTGGCGTTCGCTGGTTCTTCAAAACCTCCGAGCAGAAAAGGGAGGCAGCATTTAAGCAGAGGGTCTTGAGATTCCGAGTCCCTACTTCTCCACGTCCTGTGAAGGTGTGACTCAGTTCACCTATCTGTAAAGTCGACGATTAATTCCCGCCTCGTGGATGGAGAAACTCTGAAGCAGAACGACAAAGAAGGTCGCGTGCTCCCAGCGGAGGCTGCCAGCCCCAACCCGGCCGGGAGCATCTTCCAGCACCGCAGACCGTTTTCTGGGGCGGAGTCTTCGTTCTTTTCCGCACTCGGGAATTTAAAACGGACCCTTGGCCGCTGGTTCCAGACCGCCTCGGCTGGGGGCGTATCCGGAAGTGCCCCTACGGAAGCCGGCGGGTCCGCGCGCAGCACCTCACCATGGGGACCGCGGCGGCTCCGCGGCGCTTCTGCCGCTGCGCCTGCTTCTGCTCCGAGAACTTGTACGTGGCGCGCTACGGCCTGCACGTGCGCTTCCGGAGCGAGCAGCAGCTGCGCCAGGACTACGGCCCCGTGAGTGGCCTCTATTGGCTCTGCGGGGAAATGGGCGGGGAGGGGTGGCGGAGGGGTCGTTTGCTTTGCCTTTGGTGCGCTCAGATCTGACGACAAGAATGACCTAACCTTTAGGTACCTCATTGTTTTCAACCTTAAATGGGGATAATGGTATCTTTAGTGAGATTGTCGTGAGGAATGAATGAATGAACGTACATGCAAAATGCTCAGGGCAGGGCCTGGCTCAGAGTACTCTGTCAGTGTTATCACCAAGAGCAGCTGGGAACCCTGCTCTGTGCTCAACGTGCTTATCGCATTCCATCCTTACAATGATCCTGTGAGATCGGATCATCTCCATTTCAAGGAGAAACTGAGGCTCAGAGACGTTTAAGTGACTTAAACGTCCCAAGGTCACACCGTCGCACTCACTGGCCTTTCTGTTCCCAGATCCTGCGCAGCCGAGGCTGTGTCAGCCCCAAGGACTTCCAGCAGCTGTTGGGAGAGGTAACAACTCCCCGCCCGCCCTCGATTGCTCCCTCCGCACCCAGCCTGGCCTTTCCTCTTTAGATTTGCATCAGCAGTTTGAGGAGTCTCCCAGCCTCAGGCCTGCCAGTGTCAGATCCTTAGACCTCCCCTTTCCCCCCTCCTGTCCTCACTCACCACAGCACCTGGGTCCTGGCAGCAGAAAAAGAGAAAGCAGGAGCAACGCCAAGTTGTCTGCCTCCTGCCCTCTTGAGATACTCGGGCTCCGGGGAGGAGTCACTTGCCCAAGGTTTCACAGCAGGTGGAGTGGAGGTCCCACCCAGGGCCACCTGGCTCCTGGCTCTTCAACCCTCCCCCACGCCACTTCTGCGGCTGCTGCTTGTCTCCCACCCGGGGGTTAAGTGTCGGGAAGCTTCCCAGGACAGCCCGCCGCAGCCTCTGGAACACAAGCTTTGACCGGGACTCTGTTTCCCCTCCTTGAGTGGGCCCAGCTGGTTGAGGAGCAGCGAGGGGTCTCATCCCAGCCAGGCTCAGGCTGGTGCAGGCCTGAGTGGGATGGGCCCCCTTCTGGAAGGATGCCCCTTCAGCTAACAGCTTAGCACCTGCCATTTACCCTGGTAGAGTCAGGAGCACAGGGAGACCTTGCTCCCAGCCCTGGTCATGCCCTGGGCTTCCTGAGCCTCAGTTTCCTCATCTGCACAGTGGCCTCGGGGGGGGGATGGGAGGCCCCAACCTCATACCCAGGCCCTGTGTAACCCCAGCTTGAGAAGGAGGTGGAGCGGCGGCAGCGGCTGGGGCAGGAGTCGGCCGCCAGGAAAGCCCTCATTGCGAGCTCCTACCACCCAGCGCGGCCCGATGTCTACAGCTCACTGCAGGTACCTGGCAGGGGGCAGGTTACTGGAAGGAGACGGAGGCATCCGGGCCTGAGGGCTGTCCGCCCCACGGCTTGTGTGCTCTGCCCGCAGGATGTGGCTCTGGCCCCCGAGTTTCTGGCCGCAGCTGAGTACAGCACATCGCCAGGTGCAGACCTCCAGGGCCTTCTCCAGCGGCTGGAGACAGTTTCGGGTGAGGTCTTGGCCCATCACCTTGCAGCACTGGGGGTGGGAGACTGAGGTCCCTCCACCCACCATATCTGCCTCCAAAAATCAAACCAGCAGGACTGAGAAGGGCTGGTGGGACAGACCCATCAGGAACAGGGCATGTGTATCCACTCACTCACTTATCCAACAGTTATTCAGTGCCTTGCATCAGACACGCTCAAATAGGGGTGACTGAAGAGGTTAACAAAGGGACAGTTGAGACAAGTGTGGGCTAAGGAATCAGCAAGGGATGGGGAGGGCCCCGCCCCAGGGCTAGCAACGGGGGTGGGGTTGAGGGTAGGGAGCCGTTCCCATCCCAAGACCTGAAGGAGTGGGCAAGAATGAGGTTTCTTGAACCTGCCAGGACTTGGAACTGTGGGAGAGGGCTCGCCAGATGGGGTGCACATCTGAATTTGGAGGCTAGACCTCAGGGCAGGGTGAGGCTTCAGGGATGAGTGGGGGGCCCAAGAATAGGGCTCCCCTGCCGCACGTTATGTCATTTAATCATCACAAGAGCCCTGAGAGGTGAGTACTCACGTCATCCCCATTGTACAGATGAGGAAACTGAGGCTGGGGGAAGTGAAAAGTTTATGGGTAGATTGAAACCCACACCGGAGCTCCCGGCCAACCGACTGTCCCTCCCTCCACAGAGGAGAAGCGTATCTACCGGCTGCCGGTGTTCACAGCGTCGTTCTGCCAGGCCCTGCTGGAGGAGCTGGACCACTTCGAGCAGTCAGACATGCCCAAGGGAAGACCCAACACCATGAACAACTATGGGGTGGGTGAGGCTCCACCCGGTGGGCCCGAGGAGGTGGGGACATTGTCTGGTGAGACGCATCCCCAGCGCTGCAGACGTTCTCCAAGCCTCGGTTTCCCCATCTGTAAAATGAGATCACAGCAGGATTATTATGAAGTTAAGCACGTTGATGTCTGCAAAGCACTTAACAGTGTCCTTAGTAAGGGACTCCCCCAGGGACCCAGGGTGAGGCCCTACCAGTTTACCCACTGACCCTGGGATCCCCCTCCCAGGTGCTGCTACACGAGCTGGGCCTGGATGAGCCACTGGTGACGCCACTGAGGGAGCGCTTCCTGCAGCCGCTGATGGCCCTGCTGTACCCAGAGTACAGGGGCTGGCTGGACACCCACCACGCCTTTGTGGTCAAATACGCACCAGGCCAGGATCGCGAGCTGGGCTGCCACTACGATAACGCCGAGCTCACCCTCAACGTGGCCCTGGGCAAGGCCTTCACGGGGGGTGCTCTCTACTTTGGGGACCTCTTCCAGGTTAGTGTGTGTGACCCGTGGGGCAGGGCTGGGGCCACTGAGAGTGCCCAGGCCTAAGCCCCGCTGTCCACAGGCGCCTTCGGCCCTGGCCAACCCCCTGGAGGTAGAGCACGTGGTGGGCCAGGGCATCCTGCACCGTGGGGGCCAGCTGCACGGGGCCCGGCCCCTGGGCACTGGTGAGCGTTGGAACCTGGTCGTCTGGCTCCGCGCCTCTGCTGTGCGCAACCGCCTCTGCCCCATGTGCTGCCGCAAGCCCGACCTGGTGGATGATGAAGGCTTCGGCGACGGCTTCACCCGTGAGGAGCCCGCCACGGTGGATGTGTGTGCACTGACTTGAGCCTGGCTGGGGCCAGTGTGGCGGGGTGAGGGGCGGAAATAAACACCCTGCAGCCCTCAGCACATCTTGGTTCAAAAGGACACACGAGCTTCTGGGTCATTCTTTGAGCAGACACGTTGGCTTAGGTCGGGTTTGTTAGAACCAGAGCCTGAGACAAGGATTCCCGTGCAGGTGGTTTAAGGAGGGGATACTCTTGGGAGAAGAGGGAGGAGGACAGAGCAGGAAGGAACTGGGCCAAGATGGTTTGAAATGGCATCCAGCCTCAGCCCCATCACACGGGGCTCTCTCTGGAGCATAAATCATACCACAGTTTGCCTTCCACATCAGATATTAGCTATAGGGTGTTTTGGGGTAGGGAGGGGGTGAGTAACTTCCCAGACATCCATCTCCAGGGCAAGGTGATTCCCAGCAGCCCAGGGAATCGTCAAGAGCAGAGTACAGGTGTGAGGGACTTCCCTGGTGGTCCAGTGGTTAAGAATCTGCCTTCCAATGCAGGGGACGTGGGTTCAATCCCTGGTCAGGGAACTAAGATCCCACATGCCGCGGGGCAACTAAGCCCGTGCACCTCAACTAGAGAGTCCATGCGCCACAGCAAAGGGCCCACGTGCTGCAACTAAGACCCGATGCAGCCAAAAATAAATACATAAAATAAAAAATAAATGTTAAAAAAAGAGTACAGGGCTTCCCTGGTGGCGCAGTGGTTGGGAGTCCGCCTGCCGATGCAGGGGACACGGGTTCATGCCCCGGTCTGGGAAGATCCCACAGCCGCTCCGCGGCATGTGGGAT